CCTAACCAGTGCTGAATAGAGAGGGGGACTAGCACCTTGCGGGATTTGGAAACTATACTTCTGTTAAGGCAGCCTAAAATAGCATTTACCTTTTCTGGAGCTATATCACACTGTTGACTCATACTGTGATCTATGACGATTCCAAGATCCTTCTTGCTTGTAGTGTTGCTGAGCTAAGCACCCCCGTCCTGTACTTGTGCATTTGATTTCTTTTTTCTGAGGTGCAGTACTTTGCACTTATCCCTGTTGAGTTTCATTCTGTCGTTTTCAACCCAGCCTATCCAGATCATTTTGAAAGCAGCTGCTCCACCACCAGGCAGTCCCCTCATCCCTGGGACTTTTGAGCAGGTGGTATGGTGGGTGAGTGGGGGGGGGTGGAGACCCTGCCCTCCCCCCTTTCCCTCAATCCAGGTGGTCCTCAGTATTAAACTGCACAGAAACGTTCCATAATCTCCCCCCAGGGGACAAGCAGGCTAAATCTGGGAGGCGTTTGCACCCTCTGCCCTCTCGGCCATTTGCCCCCCTCCCCCTCCACCAGGACTGCGTTTGAGCAGGAGGCACCTGCGACCACTCACATCGGATCCCAACTCCTATGGTGCTAGCCAGGAGGAAGAGGCAGGCACCCATCAGGGTCAGGGCCAGGGGCCAGGTCCAAGGGCCCAACCCTGCAAGAGAAACTCCCGGAGGTTAGCTGGGAAGCTGGGTAGGAGAGATGCCAAGCCCTGCCTGGCCGGAATATATATATATTTAAGAACAACACCTATACACACTGGGATGGAAAAATAATATGGATTTAAAGGTTGAATGTGTTTACGTGCCAAGCTGAAGCCTGCAATATATTTTCAAAATAACATCATACGACTCTTCCTTGATCATTTTGGTTTCATTTCCCCCATCTGTGGTGGTTGGCCAAGAGCTGACCTCCCAAAAAAGCAGATTAGGAAGGGATTGAAATAAGTGATGGCTAGACAATTCCTGCGCAGGTTGAGGTGATGGAGGGGGCAGCTGTCAC